GCCTCACTCTGGAGCCTCATGTGTGCACCCCTGACTCCGAAGGGCAGGACCCCTCAGCCCTGACAACTGGGGACACCCCCGAACACAAGGTGGGTCTCTGGCCGCAGCGCCCTGAGCCCCGCATCTGGGATGTGCACACCGGGCCATGGGCTGAGGAGACAGCAGTGTGGGAGCCACAGGGTCAGCGGGGCAGCTGGGGGGTCACCGTCTCCCCGCTGGGGGCCCTTATCTCCCAGGGTGACACTGGAAGCGCCTCCAGGGACCCGGGTCACCTACCTGGTCCAGGGCGTGCAGGCTGCCTGGGTGCCCCCCGCAGAGAAGGTGCCCGGCTGGCAGTCTTCACACAGCGTGTCCTGCCACTCGGTGCCTGAGAAATGACAGTGTTGGGCAGAGGGCTCCTCGGGACCCCCTCAGGCCGGGGGCCGGGGCCTGTGTCCTCAGGGGGAGCCGCGCTCACCTGTCTCCCGCACCCTCTGGCCCGGCCGGCAGACCCTGTGGGGCCTGCACTGGACGCAGGAGTCCCCGTCCTGTTTCTCACAGAAGTGGCCGCGCCCGCAGCCGCACACGGTGTTGGTCTGGGCGGAGCACTTCCGTCTGGTCACCTGGCCCAGGCCTGGGACCCAGAGAAGGAGCTCAGAGCAGCAGCAAGGCCTGCCAGGGCTGGGGGAGCGCCCCGTCCCGGGAGGAAACCACGCTGAGGGCTGGGCAGCGCCCGCAAGCGTGGTGAGGGCATGGGGACAGGGGTGCAGCTCCCTCTGCTCCCCATGGACCCTTCCGGCCGCAGCCCAGGGTCAGCCGGAACATAGGCCCGGAGCTGCCGGACACAGAGGCCAGTCCCAAGGGGCTCCTGGTCTCACCTGGGTCACAGACGCGGCAGGGCAGACACTCGGGCAGGCCGTTGAGGTGGGCAGTGTAGGTGCCCCGGGTGCAGGGCTCACACACTGTGGTCCTGAGCTCCCCGCAGGCCTCCTGCACCCGGTAGCCTGCAGCCAAGTGGACACACACTCAGGGTGGGACGGCCCCGGGAGCCCGGGCAGGTGTGACACCCCCCCAGGGGTCACCCCCTCTGGGCTCTTCCCCAGGCCAGTGAGCCCGCTTGGCAGGAAGTGAGAACTTTCTGGAAGTTGGGGGCCTCCTGGGACACAGAGGCCTGGCTCTGAGCCCCCCTCTCCTGAACTGAAATGGGCTGCCCACCCCCAGCCCCGCCCTGAGCACTGAGCTGAGGGTCTGGGGGGGGAAGCTGGGGGTGCCCTCTCTGCCCAGGGCCTTCAGGCCTCCCATGAAGGGGTGCTGAGAGCAGAGGGGCTCCAGGCCAGGGAGGGGGATGCCTGCCCCCAGCACAGCCCCGCCCCCGGCGACCCCAGGGGCCCTGCAGAGCTGCACCCACCTGGCCTGCACTTGGGGCAGCACATGGCCCCCGTCGGGAACTCCTCCTCTTTGCACGAGGGCATCGCCAGTGCGCAGGGCGGGGCTGTCAGAAGGAGGAGGCTCAGAGCCTAAGGGAGATGAGGGGGCGTTGGACCAGAGCAGCTGCCTGGGCCTCAGTCTGACCCTCCGGGTAATGGGCCATGCCCTGCAGGGGGGCCCAGGACAGAATTGTCTACTGAGGATCCTAAGAGCCTGGGTTTGGGACCATCCTGTGTGTGACCTCTGACCCGCTGGGCTCAGGAGAGTGAGGCCCCGCCCCTGGGAAGGCCAGGGCTGCTCTGACCCAACAAACTCAGCCTCGCTGCTCCCTGTGCTGCACCCTGAGACCTGGAGCCACAGGGTCAGGGAAGCTGTTAGGTCGGAGAGAGCCCAGGTGCCGGCTCGCCGATCTGGCTAAACACGGGGCCTGCCCTGGACCTGCGTCCTTTTTCTGTATCGTAGCATGGCCTCAGTCTGAAAACGGGACCCTGACTTTACCGTCGCACCGATCTCAGTAATTTCTGCCAGTGAACTGGGAAATTTGCCCAAGTCTCTCTCTCTCAGTCTCTCTCTCTCTCTCAGCCTCTCTCCATCTCTCTGCGTCCCCGTCCCTCCCCCCACAGTTCTTTCTGCCTACTCTCCTTGCTCCGTCCTTCCTCCTCCCTCCGGGCTGTCCCTGCGCTGCCACGCCGCGCACCACCGAGCCTGCGGTGTGTGTCCCCAGTAGGCACACAGGCGTCCACAGGCTCCACCTTCCTTCTGTCCCTGAGCCTTCGTTCTGCCCTGCCCCTGGGAGGTTGTGCCCACGCACACCCAGGCCACCTCTCTCGCTCTCTCCCCTCCCCGTACAGGCCTGCCTTAGTATCCTGTACCCAACGCAGTGCCCTAAGTTCTAACCGCCCGCCTTCCACTGTGCGCTCTTCCGAATCTCCTCCCCCATGACTGCCAGTACTTTAAATTCACAGGTGGCCGGCCAGTTCCCTTTGC